TCTTTGGTGTATTTTCAGGGGTAGAAATGTTCTCAGAAGTAGGTAAATGTGTAACAAAAGAAGAGTACAACAAAATATAGTGTAACATATGTACTAAAAGTGAGTAGAAAAAAAAGAGGAGTTGCACTTACAGATTGTAGAGCTTAGGTAGGTCTACATTTTTGCGCATGGGTATTATTCCACCTAAGGATATCTAGTTTCTTCTTTTGGTAAAGTGCTTCAACCAGGTAAAAATTATATGCACCCCACTCAAGGGTTGTGTAAGCTTGTAGAAAGTCTTGTTTATTATGCAGATAAAAATAGAAATAAAATCAAAACAGAAATAAATATATAGGGCTCACTGTTCAATAAGTGTTTGCGCAGTCCAAACAGCTCAGATGGTATGTTCCACACCAAAGGCATGTGTATCCATGCTCCAAAGATCTGATGAGGGTAAGTCCAATGATGTATTATAAATAACTAATACTAATTTTCAGTGTGGCCATATTAGATGCCTTACCTGTAATATTATTTGTCATCAAAAAGCCACATTCAAACCTCACAAGAGTGAGGAAGTTTTTTCCTTTACTTGCAGCATTAATTGTAATTCGGTGTTTTTTGTGTATCTTCTTGTGTGTACATGTGGGATGCAGTACGTGGGTCAAACCACAAAACCCCTTAAATGTAGGTTTAGGGAACATAGACTGGTCATAATTCATGGAGACAAACGATCACCAGTTGCTCATCATTTTGAGATGTTCCACAATAGTGACCCTTCATCCAATCGATGATTGGAGATATGGGGATGGATTCTATACCAGTTAGAAGAGACCTAGCTAAAAGGGAAGAGAGATTTAACAAGGGCCGAATCCAGATGGATTTTTAAACTTAATACTCTGGCCCCTAATGGTCTCAATGAGGAACTGGAACAGTAATAAATAATACATACTAAATATCAAATATTGTCTCTGAAATCGATCACCTCCACCCTTTTTCCCCCATATCCTTTGGAACATAAGAATCCTAGATACATCTGTTGGAATGTGTGGTTTTCCTAGTCTATTATTGTTAAAAAGGTGTTTAAAGCTCTTTACTATAAGCCTTTTTTGTGGCTTCTAAATATCCTGATTATGTATACTGATTCTGATACATAAAAATATACTTATGTTGTGTCTTTTTCTTTTGCTGAAAGATTTGCGATTTGCAATTCGTGATCAGAAGGTTTTGATGAGACCTCTTAATTGAGCAAATAAATCCTCTATTAGAACATATTCTTCTCCCCCTCCACCCCCTTCCTTTGGTAGCCAAACTGTTTTTACCAGTGATCTGAACTTATTGGCAAACTGACTTCAGTGTCAGTATAGTTTTATATATACAGAATTGATATTAATCTCCACTGTTATTCCTGATAGATAAGAGTTAATCATATTGTGCTTATTATATGCTTATATTTTACTTTTATGTGTTTGTATTGCGTTAATTTATGTTTAACTATGTAATTACTCATTTATCTTCATAAGATTAGTATCTATGGGGGGTATGTCTATCGATCCATTTCAGATCTTATTTCTGTCTCGTTAAGACACTCTCTGTACAAGGTATTTAAGACAACTGAGGCATTGTGACTATAGTCTTGAGAAAGTTCTGTGAGAGGAACGAAACACGTAGACTTCCTAAACGTATCAGCTGCTTCCTGTTCTCCTCCTGACATATTAATAGCGAGTCACCATTCACCGCCGCCTTTTTAGAAGATTCCAACCGCGGTGTTAACGTAACAGCGATACAGTTTATAAGTATCTGTGAGTTCCCCAGCGATCCTTGATTGCTACATGCTCAGCAACAATTGTGATCCAGTCTGCAATCACTTGTCAGTTTCCCAGTGATCCTTGACGATCAAATGCTCGGCAACAACAGATAGCTTTTTTAATCTGAAGGATCTACTGGGGATTTTTCTCCCTTCGTGTTTCACGTGGAAGGATTTTTTTCACCTCAGGTGGGGGCCCACACCGAGGTTAGGTACTTTCATTTTTTACATAGTATCCCAGTTATGGAGACACATAACTAAAGTGTTGGTTTCTATCGTCTAGCATCCTCTCTCATATTGCTTTATCATTTTTGTTTCGATGATTGTATGTTTTTAGCATTTTATCAATTTTTTTAATTTGATTTGATCTGATATAATCCGATACACCACAGCCCCACATGCCAGGTTGCAACACGCTGCTTCATTTTTTGATACTGTTGCAGTACTCCTGGCCTGAGGTGCTTTGGCAAGTGTTTGTATCACTTTGGTAAGATCCACAGCTATAATAGCACCTATTGCTAATTACTTTTCAGATTTGCTTATTTAATTAATTAATCTTTTATGTATATGAGATTGGCTTCACCTCTAGCAATTCGGTGGTAACTATGCGAGGAGCAAAAGGTTTAGCAATATTTTGTGATCTGTTTTTATTTTATTAAAAAACTGTTTTTATGATAAGACCAGGCTTTTTTGAGTCTATATATCAACTAAGGAGTGCACATCTATTTTATTTTATTTTGAGTTTTCCTCTTTAAAGTCGCATATATATCTGCCCAATTTCATTTTCGGTTACCAGCAAATTATCTTTTTACTATTTTATTATTTTATTTTATTTTGTGTCATTTTACCCCACTGCCTCTAGCATGTAAGCTCATTGAGCAGGGCCCTCAACCCCTCTGTTCCTGTGTGTCCAACTTGTCTGGTTACAACTACATGTTTGTTTGTCCACCCATTGTAAAGCGCTGCGGAATTTGACGGCGCTCTATAAATATCATAATAATAATTATAAATAACTACTTTATTTTAATAGACTGATATATAAAAATAGACAAAATATTAAAATCAGTACAATGAGTAATAAAAAAATTACATGTTTCACCTTCAAAAGCAACTTTTTCAAAGCGTTACAATCATATGGACTTACCATACAAGGTAATTAAGATTCTTTAGGGGTTAAATGAACACTATGCAATTGTGTATTCCTAAGCATATAATGCCCCAGTCACCATTTAGGTGACAGGTCCCTGCTGCCACGGTACAAAAGATGAGTTTTGCTTACCTTTTTTCCCTTGCAGTACTGATCTCTGGCGTTTTTCAATGATGAATGATCAGGCCATGTGATTGCTCTGTGAGAGAGCACTGGGCCTACTCCCTCAAGAGTGGATGGAGCACAGGGCAAGACCAACCTAAATCTTGGGACTGTTCAACGTCACTACACAATTCTTCCTAGAACTAGTTAACCAGATGTCAAATGTTTATACTGTTAACTGTTTTGCTGTTTATACTCGTATAGTTTTAAAGGGTAAATCCAGATAGGGGGTACTACACCTACAAGGACCAGAGGAGGGAAGGTTAGGTAAAGGCAAGGAAAATGGAAGTACGTTAGAGGCAACAGACCACTTTAGGAATAGAAAAGGCTCACCTTCCTACTCATGGTAGTACAAGACATGAAACAGCACAATACAAAAAGGGGGGCAGGGGGAAGGGAGGGAAAGACAAAGAAAAAATTATATACAAAAAAAAGGGAAAAAAGAAAACAATTTAATACAAAAATAATATATATTAAAGCAAATAACCACAAAATACATATTTTCCTACTTTACAGGGAGGGTACTGGCGGGAACAAAGGAAAGATGTTGACAAGTGTACTGAGGATCAGTTACCTATAGTGATGTCGCGAACCCGAAATGTTCGGTTCGCGAACGTCGAACGCGAACTTCCGCAAATGTTCGCAAACTGGCGAACCGCGCGAACCGCCATAGACTTCAATGGGCAGGGGAATTTTAAAACACACAGGGACTCTTTCTGGCCACAATAGGGATGGAAAAGTTGTTTCAAGGGGACTAACACCTGGACTGTGGCATGCCGGAGGGGGATCCATGGCAAAACTCCCATGGAAAATTACACAGTTGATGCAGAGTCTGGTTTTAATCCATAAGGGCAGAAATCACCTAACATTCCTAAATCACAATGAATATGGATTGACACCTGACATATGACATATTGACACCTTGACATATGGATTGACACCTGTCCTCAGAGCCCCTGATGCACACGGACACAGAGCAGAATAGAGACTGGTCCCCCTACATAGGGTCACTTGGCAGATATGGATTGACACCTGTCCTAAGGATCCCTGATACACACTGACACAGAGCAGAATGGGGACTGTTCCCCCTACATCGGGTCACTTGGCAGATATGGATTGACACCTGTCCTAAGGTTCCCTAATACACACTGACACAGAGCAGAATAGGGACTGGTCCCCCTACATAGGGTCACTTGGCAGATATGGATTGACACCTGTCCTCAGAGACCATGATACACACTGACACAGAGCAGAATAGAGACTGTTCTCCTACATAGGGTCACTTGGCAGACATGGATTGACAACTGTCCTCAGAGATCATGATACACACTGACACAGCAGAATAGAGACTGTTCCCCCTACATAGGGTCACTTGGCAGATATGGATTGACACCTGTCCTAAAGGATCCCTGATACACACTGATACACACCTACTTGGATGGTATAGACATTTTTAGCTGCTCCTGGCCCGAACACCTGACCCACATAGGAGCCGTAATAGACCGGATTAGGGAGTCCGGACTGACCCTAAAGCCCAGTAAGTGCCATATAGGAACGTGTAAAAACCTCCCCAAGATAGTAGTATGGGCCCAGAGTGTGAACAGGCCTTCCAACAGCTCAAGACGGCGCTCGTTAAATCACCTGTACTTTCTGCTCCTGATCCAACTAAACACTTTCTCGTCCATACAGACGCTTCTATGCTTGGATTGGGAGCAGTACTGAGCCAAGTCGGAGCAGATGGTGGCGAGCAACCCGGGGCTTATCTAAGCCGTAAACTTTTGCACAGCGAAGTATATTCACTGCCATTGAAAAGGGGTGCATGGCGGTGGTGTGGGCCCTCAAAAAGCTGCAACCTACTTGTATGGACAACCGTTTACCTTACTCACAGATCACATTAAATTTGGGGCACTGCGCGTGCAATCTAATGTGCCACCAGATAGGAGTGGTGTGTTTAGTACTATTGTTATCAGTTTAATCACTGTTACGTCCCCTATCCGTTGATGTGGAGCAAGACGCAGCAGCAGAGAGGACTCAGCCGAGGAGGTTATGGAAGAGGATGGAGTAGGAGGAGTAGAGGAGGTGGCAGCGTACTGGCAGAGTACACGCTGTAGGGCTGACACACCCGCTTTGAGACAACTAACTGCTATTCAATCTATAACCGATGTTTGTTTCACAGGCAGAAAGTGCCCTAAAAGATGGCGGCTTGAACCCAAGTTGGTGGCGGATCAGTCACGCAAGTCAACAGGCATTCAGAGCTAAAATACAGCAGCGTGTGGACCATTTTTAGCCCAAGGCAGCTCATCTCATCAGGCCTTTTTTAATCTAATGTATCGCCTAGTGTCAGTCCCTTCGGGATCCATCCCTCATTCATCTTAATAAAGGTGAGGTAATCTAGACTTTTTTGACCTAGGCGACTTCTCTTCTCAGTGACAATACCTCCTGTTGCACTGAAGGTCCTTTCTGACAGGACACTTGAAGCGGGGTAGGCCAGAAGTTCTATCGCAAATTGGGATAGCTCAGGCCACAGGTCAAGCCTGCACACCCAGTAGTCAAGGGTTCATCGCTCACTGAGTAATGCGATATCTGCAGTTAAAGGGTAGTCCTGCTACCTGTGGTCGGTCGCTCTGAAGATTGGATCGAAGGGCCTAATGGCGATCGTGGGACTTAAAAGGTCCGCATGTCACTCCATCAACTGCGTCAAAGCGTCCTGTCCTTGCAGTGGTCATGGGAGGAGGAGGATGACTTCCACCTCTCCCCTGTTAGATTCCCGTTGTGCTGTGACATCACCCTTATACGCTGTGTAAAGCATACTTTTTAATTTATTTAGCAAATGCTGCATCCTTTCCGACTTGTAATTTGGTAACATTTCAGCCACTTTCTGCTTATACCGGGGGTCTAGTGGCGTGGACACCCAGTACAGGTCGTTCTCCTTCAGCCTTTTTATACGAGGGTCCCTCAACAAGCACGACAGCATGAAAGACCCCATTTGCACAAGGTTGGATGCCGAGCTACTCATTTCCCGTTCCTCCTCCTCGGTGATCTCAATGAAGGTATGTTCTTCCCACCAGCCACGTACAACACCACGGGTACCAGATAGGTGACAATGAGCACCCTGGGATGCCTGTTGTGGTTGGTCTTCCTCCTCCTCCTCAAAGCCACATTCCTCCTCTGACTCCTCTTCCTCACAATCCTCTTCCAGCGTTGCCGCAGGTCCAGCAAGCGATGCTGATAAGGCTGGTTCTGGTGGTGATGGTGACCACAACTCTTCCTCTTCCTCTTTCTCTTCACGCTCATCTACGGCCTGATCCAGCACTCTTTGCAGGGCAAGCTCCAGGAAGAAAACAAATGGTATGATGTCGCTGATGGTGCCTTCGGTGCCACTGACTAGGTTTGTCACCTCCTCAAAAGGACGCATGAGCCTACAGGCATTGCGCATGAGCGTCCAGTAACGTGGCAAAAAAAATCCCAGCTCCCCAGAGGCTGTCCTAGCACCCCGGTCATACAAATATTAATTAACGGCTTTTTCTTGTTGGAGCAGGCGGTCGAACATTAGGAGTGTTGAATTCCAACGTGTCGGGCTGTCACAAATCAAGCGCCTCACTGGCATGTTGTTTCGCCACTGGATATCGGCAAAGTGCGCCATGGCCGTGTAGGAACGCCTGAAATGGCCACACACCTTCCTGGCCTGCTTCAGGATGTCCTGTAAGCCTGTGTACTTATGCACAAAGCGTTGTACGATCAGATTACACACATGTGCCATGCACGGCACATGTGTCAACTTGCCCAACTTCAATGCCGACAACAAATTTGTTCCGTTGTCACAAACCACTTTGCCGAATTTCAGTTGCTGCACAGTCAGCCACTTTTCCACCTGTGCATTCAGGGCGGACAGGAGTGCTTGTCCGGTGTGACTCTCTGCTTTCAAGCAAGTCCAAGACGGCGTGACACTGCCGTATCTGGGATGTGGAATAGTACCTGGGGGGCTGGGGGGGTGCCGTTGATGTGGAGCAAGATGCAGCAGCAGAAGAGGACTCAGCCGAGGAGGTTATGGAAGAGGATGGAGTAGGAGGAGTAGAGGAGGTGGCAGCAGGCCTGCCTGCAAGTCGTGGTGGTGTCACCAACTCCTCTGCAGAGCCACGCATTCCATGCTTGGCAGCCATCAGCAGGTTTACCCAATGCCAGTGTAGGTGATATACCTGCCCTGACCATGCTTTGCAGACCAGGTATCAGTGGTCACATGGACCCTTGCCCCAACACTGTGTGCCAGACATGCCATTACTTCCTTTTGCACAATCGAGTACAGGTTGGGGATTGCCTTTTGTGAAAAGAAATTTCGTCCGGGTACCTTCCACTGTGGCGTTCCAATAGCTACAAATGTTTTGAACGCCTCAGACTCCACCAGCTTGTATGGTAAAAGCTGGCGGGCTAATAGTACAGACAAGCCAGCTGTCAGACGCCGGGCAAGGGGGTGACTTTCTGACATTGGCTTCTTACTCTCAAACATGTCCTTGACAGACACCTGACTGTGGGCAGATGAGCAGGAACTGCTCAAGGCGAGAGACGGAGTGGCGGATGCTTGAGAGGGGCAAGGAGGACAGCAGTGGTTGACATGGCTGAAGATGCTGGACCAGGAGGAGGATGGCGGCTTTGAGTTTGTGTGCTGCTTGTACTCATGTGTTGATCCCATAGGCGTTTGTGATGTGCGATCATGTGCCTACACAAAGCAGTTGTACCTAGGTGGGTGTTGGACTTCCCACGACTCAGTTTCTTTTAGCACAGGTTGCAAATGGCATCGCTGTTGTCAGAGGCAGACACACAAAAAAAATTCCACACTGCTGAGCTCTGCAATGACGGCATTCTGGTGGTGGACACAGCATGCGTTGATTGGCGTGCTGTCGGGCTGACCCCGGGTGCCGATGCATGCTGTCTGACTGTGCCACTAGCTCCTTGCAACGACCTCCCCCTGCTTCCAACTCGTCTCCTCCTCCTCTCTGTCTCCCAATCTGAACTTTCGCCCTGTTCTTCTTCTTGCCGAGTGGGCACCCACGTGACATCCATGGACGAATCGCCATCATCAACTGCTTCACTTGTATCTGACAACTCAGCAAAGGAAGCAGCGGGTACAACATCATCATCATCACACCGTACATGTGTAATGCTGCCTGATTGAGACATATCCCTGTTATCTACATCCTCTGTCAATAATGGTTGCGCATCACTCATGTGTAAATAACTCCTCTGACATACCAAGTGAAGCGGCTGTGGTGCTAGTGTTGGTGGTGGCGGCAGGCGGGTGAGTGGTATCTTGAGAGGTGCCCGAAGCTAAGCTGGAGGAGAATGTTGCGTCAAGGTTCCGAGCAGAAGCTGTAGAAGATTGGGTGTGCTGTGTTAGCCAGTCAACTATGTCCTCAGAACTTTTCAAGTTCAGGGTACCTGGCCTCTGAAAACTGGGCATTATTCTAGGGCAAAAGGGAATCACAACACCACGACGGCCCCTGCGGGGTGGCCTGCCTCTGCCTGTCATTTTTTTTTTCGATTAGTGGTACTCTGTGTGCAAGCTACTGTGACACCAGATATGAGTGGCACTGTGAACTGGCAGAGTACACGCTGTAGGGCTGACACACCCGCTTTGAGACAACTAACTGCTATTCAATCTATAACACTGAAAAAAGTTTTTTGTTTTTAAATGCAAGCTATTGTGACACCAGTGAGTGAGTGGTGGCACTGACTGGGCAAATGGGCACAGTATCCACTGTGAGCCTGACACAGAAGCTGGCAGCAGTGGCAGACAACCAACTGCTATTCAATCTATAACAGTGAAAAAAGTTTTTTGTTTTTAAATGCAAGCTATTGTGACACCAGTGAGTGAGTGGTGGCACTGGGCACAGCATCCACTGTGAGCCTGACACAGACGCTGGCAGACAACTAACTGCTATTCAATCTATAACAGTGAAAAAAGTTTTTTGTTTTTAAATGCAAGCTATTGTGACACCAGTGAGTGAGTGGTGGCACTGACTGGGCAAATTGGCACAGTATCCAATGTTAGCCTGACACAGAAGCTGGCAGCAGTGGCAGACAACTAACTGCTATTCAATCTATAACAGTGAAAAAGTTTTTTGTTTTTAAATGCAAGCTATTGTGACACCAGTGAGTGAGTGGTGGCACTGGGCACAGTATCCACTGTGAGCCTGACACACCCACTGGCAGACAACTAACTGCTATTCAATCTATAACAGTGAAAAAGTTTTTTGGTTTTAAATGCACGCTATTGTGACACCAGTGAGTGAGTGGTGGCACTGGGCACAGTATCCACTGTGAGCCTGACACAGACACTGGCAGACAACTAACTGCTATTCAATCTATAACAGTGAAAAAAGTTTTTTGGTTTTAAATGCAAGCTTTTGCGACACCAGTGAGTGAGTGGTGGCACTGGGCACAGTATCCACTATGAGCCTGACACACCCGCTTTGAGACAACTAACTGTTATTTAATCTATAACAGTGAAAAAAGTTTTTTGGTTTTAAATGCAAGCTATTGTGACACCAGTGAGTGAGTGGTGGCACTGGGCACAGTATCCACTGTGAGCCTGACACACAGACGCTTGAAGACAACTAACTGCTATTCAATCTATATCAGTGAAAAAAGTTTTTTGTTTTTAAATGCAAGTTATTGTGACACCAGTGAGTGAGTGGTGGCACTGGGCACAGTATCCACTGTGAGCCTGACACAGAAGCTGGCAGACAACTAACTGCTATTCAATCTATTATAGTGAAAAAAAAATTAATTTTTTTTAAATGCAAGCTATTGTGACACCAGTGAGTGAGTGGTGGCACTGGGCACAGTATCCACTGTGAGCCTGACACAGAAGCTGGAAGGCAGGCAACTGCAATTACATTACATAAAAAAAAAAAAAGCAGACTGATGTTCTAGCCCTAAAAAGGCTTTTTGGGGTGCTGTCCTTACAGCAGAGATCAGATGAGTCCTTCAGGACTGTAGTGGACACTGTATACCCTAACCTAGCTATGCATTTCCCTATCTAATCAACAGCAGCTACACTTTCCCTCCTCTCACTAAGCATGCAGCTTGAGAATGAATGTAAAATGGATGCCTTCCAGTAGGTGGGAGGGTCTGCTAGGGAGGG